TGTTAGACCACTATTTTTCATAATTTTACTGTATTTTTTATTTACTGCGCCAGATGCCATGCAGAAAAAAAAGTTCTACGATTTATCGCGCTATGACAAAGTTTATCAAATCTTTAAAAATGTCTCTAAATGGACATCAGTGTCTAACATATTTTCTATTCAGTTAGAGAAAATTCAGTATACATGGTACTTTTTAATTCCTATATATATATAGCCATAGAGTGACACTACAAAGACAGATCGAAATTTGTCTTTTTTTCTGTTTCTTTGACTAGGTAATACGTCACTTGTGCTATCGCAATACTCATCAGCGTTGACTAATAGTAGTCAAAAGTATTGTCGTCTATTCAGTTGTTCATTACCAACCTACTATTATCAAGCTATTAGTATTAATGTATCCACAGATGGATGGTATGTTATCACATCTAATAGAAGTGTCAACACATATGGTTATATTTACAATAACAGCTTCAATTAATCGATACCATCAGAAAATATGGTAACACGAATGATGCTCCCCGGACATTTGCTCCCGCGACAATTGCTCCTCGGACAATTGCTCTCCAGCGACAGTTGCTCCCGCGACATTTGCTCTCGCGACATTTGCTCTCCAAGGACAGTTGCTCCCCAAGGACAATTGCTCCCTGGACACTTGCTCTCCTATGACAATTGCTCCCTGGACACTTGCTCCCTAATGACATTTGCTCCCCGGACATCTGCTTCCGGATTACATTTGCTCCCCAATTTCACTTGGCCTTAAGCTACGGTTTTTTTGTTGACAAATTTAATATAATGGGTGTTGATGTGGGGTGTGGGGGTGGGGTGTGGATGTGGGATGTGGGTGTGGGTGTGGATGTGGGTGGGTCAAGAAAAGTGAGCTCCACGCGTAAACTCCAAATTTGGAGCTCACTTTTCTCCTCAATCGTTCTGTTTAAATTTATAGCACCACCTAGAATACTAGTAGCATTACCTTGGATACTAGAGGCATTTCCTGGGATGCCACTAGCATTGGAAGAGATGCTAATATCATTATCTCGGTTGCTAGGGGCATCGCCTGGGATGCTAGAGGTTTTGTCTGGGATGCTAGATGCATTGCCTGTGATGCTAGAGGCATTGCCTGGGATGCTATGAGCATGTCAGAAAATGCTACTAGCGTCGTAGGTAATGCCTTTGGCATCCTATGGAATGCTTCTAGCAGCCCAGGGAATCCAACTAGCATCCCAGGGAATGCTACTAGCAAGCCTGGCGATTCCTCTGGCATTCCTGATGATGGCTCTAACATTCCAGGCAATGCCTGCAGCATCCCAGGATATGGCTCTAGCATCTCAGACGATGGTATTTGCAACCCAGACAATGCTTGTAGCATCCAAGACGATGCCTCTAGCATCCCAGATAATGGCTCTGGCATCTCAGGCGATGCTATTAGCAACCGAGGGAATGCCAGTAGCGTCCCAGAAAATGCTACTAGCATTGTAGGTGGTGCTAGGAATCATAGAAGACGGACTGAGGGTGTGGGTGTGAGTAAAGGAAAGTTCTATATCTACATCCATCCACACCCACACCCTTTTCTTATTTTATTTCTTCGATGTTCTTCTTATATATATAGATCCATACTATCACCTTTTGAAATTCTGATAAAACTGCAGTAAAATTAACTATATATTTTTGAAATCGATTCGTGAATTTTCAGGAATCTTAAATTCTGCACGAATTTCTAGTGATCTCATTCTTTTCATAATTTTACCAACTTTTAAGTCCGCAAAAATTATATTGAATTTGTCAACAAAAAACCGTAGCTTAAGGCCAAGTGAAATTGGGGAGCAAATGTGATTGGGAAGCAGGTGTCCGGGAAGCAAATGTCATTAGGGAGCAAATGTCATTAGGGAGCAAGTGTCCAGGGAGCAATTGTCATAGGAGAGCAAGTGTCCAGGAAGCAATTGTCCTTGGGGAGCAACTGTCCTTGGAGAGCAAATGTCGCGAGAGCAAATGTCGCGGGAGCAACTGTCGCTGGAGAGCAATTGTCCGGGGAGCAATTGTCGCGGGAGCAACTGTCCCGGGAGCATCAGTCATGGATTCAGAAAATATAATATAATTTGCTAACAACAATGACAGTAATTGGCGTTTCATGTTTGCCATGGCGCTTTGTACTGTAACAAAGTACATTTTGGTTGTAGCAACAAATGCAGCAAATAGAGTTGGTTCATTTTCAATCACCGTAAGCCGTATCGAATATGTTAGTTTCATAGGTAGATAGAAAACGATGATACTTTGGCTTCAAGTTGCAACTTATGTTAACCAACTTTTCTTAAAGTCGGTCGATATTCTGAATGTTTGTCATTGATGTAAATGACTTTCTAAATATTTCTTGCTTTGCTTTGTAAAAAATGATCTTTTTTCATTGTCTATCATCTGCTTTTGTTGCTCATTGCCTTAAACAATTGGTTTTTGAATATCACATTATCTTTACTTTCGTTTTTGAATGCATATTGAACAAAAAGAAGTGTTTCTATCACAATCATTTATATTGCAACAATTATATCGATAGCCAGTTGGTTAGACAGTCATATTGTTCTTGGTAATTAATTCTTGTCATTCTCTTCGAATCGAAGGTGTGAGTATCAGGGCGGTTTAATCAAAGACTTACACTCACACTCATATCCTATACCCACATTCACATTCACACCCACCCACAACTCACACACCTCATAAAGAATGGTGTGTTTATTATCGTTGCTGCCCAATTGGTTAGAAATGAATCTCTCATTTGTATGCATTGTTTTCATTAGGATACCTTTTTTATGTCAAAATATGAGATATGACCACTTTTATTTTAACATTCAGCTGCACATTTGCACTCATTCTTCATGTTCTTATCAGTAAAAAGCGAACGACCGAGCGATATACATCCTCACATTTCTTTTTCACTCATCAATATGGCTGAAAGTATTTTCGTGAATATATGGTTGTTCATTGCTTGTATTTTTTCGCTGTTCATCTTCGGCCTCTTGATTAGTCAACGTTTCAATTCGATTTACTTTTTTCATTCGACGTCGATTGTTTGTGCTCTACTTTCTCTCTACATGCCAATCTACTGGAAATATCACTCATCTTGGTCCCTTGCAGAGACACACTTGGATGAATCCAGTGTCGGAATGAGTTTCATATTGGCGTTACAATATATTGGATTGGCATTTGGTCAAGAATGGATATATACGCGAATGATGACACCAAAACAAGTGGTTCTAGAAGTTTTAACTGCTTCACTGGTGACTCTATCTTCGGCAGAAAAATCAAAAGATCATGCAATAGACGCTCGCCGTGAAAGCATCTCAACCATTTTACGAGGTATAGGCCAAATCATCATTCTTCGAGCTCTTTTTCATGTCATACCTATCGATTGGCTCTCTCTTCCTTGTTCATCGTTTCTTCCATTTGGCTGGCTTGCTCGCTCCGCTTTGCTTGGGGTCCTTATGTATCTTGCTATATCAATAATATACAATGTCATGTTCGGTGTTAGTGGTCTTCTGTTTAATGTTCGAATGAATTCGGCCTTTCCCTCCCTCCCATTTGCATCGACAAGTCTCCGTGACTTTTGGTCACGCCGATGGAATGCCCCTGTCAAAGCAGTATTGCATCGCATGTCCTTCATTGTTATTCCGAGACTGACTGGAACAACTAAGACAATGAACAAAACGACAAGTGCATTTATTGCTTTTGCTTTATCGGGCGTATTTCACGAGTTTATATTAGTGATAGTCGGTAGCGTGTGGCCAGGCAAGAACATGCTTTTCTTCATGTTGCAAGCTGTATTAATCAAAATAGAAATTGCTATGAAACTATCGACGAAGACAACTAGTCCTCTGGGCAAGTTCATGGGATGGATATGGACAATTGTAGCGTTGCTAATCACGTCACCACTTTTTGTTGACTCATGGATTAAAGCGGGTTACTATATAAGAATGAAAGAAACCTTTGTCTAATCATTTCCAAAATACGAAATAAAATGCCTGATATAGTTTCACGATTGTACAACGTATTCTTTGAACTAGAATTGGAGACACGACTAGTTTCAGATACTGCTTTATTTTAGAGAGATGTAGGCGACATACTTTCAGTCATACCCTATCCATCCATAAAATCTTGCTCGCATCCGAACAAGAGTAATTCACAAAGTTTCATGATGGATGAAGATTGAGAAGTAGATGAAACTCGACACCCATTCACGTTAAGTCTGGCACATCATTATTAAAAGTATCAGCATTACATAAAAAAAAATATTATCCTTCTTTTCTAATTGATCTAAGAATTCATTTCAAAGTAGTCAATGTATACTTAGTTGATTGGGTTTTGTACGATTCTAAGCAGACCAATATTTGTAAGGTTAGCATAAAATTGCTTTCTAAATGTTCTTTGAAATATTTCCTCATGAATTTGATCACGATCGCAATATGGCAAGGTCGCACTGTACTACAATAATGCTGTGACCGGTAATGGCAGACAATGGCAGAGTCATTACGGATAACTACGAAATTGTCACCGAAACTTTATGTAGTTGCGGTGCAGCCTTCGTAGTTACGCGCAAGTGCGTTGCAGTGAACATAGTTTGTCTACTATTTATAACTTAGTGCGAATGCTACACTAACTGTGTCATACAGGTACTTCAAAAAGTATTCGAAGAATCCATGTTTTTTCATTATTCTTGATTGGCGAAGTAGAAATATGAGATGAAGTTTTTCTTTTTTCACCAGTAAATAGTTCTTACTTCGAACTTGGTTCTCTATGACAATCAGCAATTTTGATTATCATCTCCAATTACGGGAATGTTTTTCATATAAATGTTCGAATCTTCAATAGACTAGGTACTCGTTTTTCTAACATCAGATAATTATATTATTTGCACATTGTTAGAATGAGCAAAGCGAGCTCTATTTGTTAGCATGATATTTCGAAGAAGAAAGTTAATTTTCACAATGTAAGCGATTTCAAAAGAAACCAGATTCTTATGATTTTTGAACACATTGTCTTAAAAGATGAACAAAAGAAACAAAATAAAGATGAAAAGAGAATACTTAGTTAGTTTCGGAAAATCACATGGCAATGGACACTTTGCATCGCTCTAATAAAGACCGTCATACATATGATAATTCACATCATGAAAATTAACTTTCTTCTTTGAAATATTATGCTAATAGATAGAGCCCACTTTGATCGTTCTAACAGTCTGAAAATAATATAATTATGATGTTAGAAAAACAAGTACCTAACCTATTGAAGATTCGAACATTTTCATGAGAAACATTCCCGTAATTCGAGATGATAATCAAAATTGCTGATTTTCATAGAGAACCTAGTTCGAAGTAAGAACTATCTACTGGTGAATAACGAAAACTTTATCTCATATTTCTGCTTCGCCAACCAAGAATTATGAAAAAACATGGGATGTTCGGATAGTTTTTGGAGTACATGTAATCATTTGAAAAGAGTAGATATGGATCAATTGTTTTTATTTTGATCCATGTTCGACTCTAATCTTACTATGGCAATTACTATGAAGAGATCAAGACTTTTTCATATATCAAATTGTGTGATACTGCTACGAGCAGTATGAATGCACATTACACTTACATCCTTTTCAGAAAGTATGTCGGAACGGCAGCAGCTAAAGATCGAAAATTTTACATTCAAGGTAGTGTTATTTTTTTCAGCGTCCAAAGACGCTCAAAAAACTAATTTGTGTAATCTAGTCTTTTCGTATAAAAATCTGACTTTCTATGGAACAAGTGACACAAAATAAAATAATTTCAGGTTTTTTAAAAACAAGTAGGGCTCACTCTTTTCTGGAAAAATAGCACTGCGCCTGAGAGGATGTCGGTGTAGGTATGAGCGTGGGTGTGGATGTCGGTAGATTTTCATCTTATGTTTATCAATAGTCACACTGAAGCCCACAACCACTATCAAGATTCTATACGATTTACAGAATAAAAAAGATATTCATCCATTATAAGACAAACCACTTGACCCAACATTTTCAAAAAAACCGTCTGCTTTTTTCAGTTCAAATGACATGGGTATCTGCACTACTTTTAAATAAACCCAGCTTGTGGAAGTTTTCACTTCACAACTCCACTTATCATTAGATGACAGGCGAGCCAATTTTTCTCTCTTAGTGTTACGCTATGGTCCATAGTAGTGAAATATATAGTGAGACAATTTTGTGCTGCCATTCAGTGTCTTAAGTCATATTTTTAGTCGTTTTACACTTAATCATTGCTGAGCCACCAAGGAATTAGGTATCAGTTTGTACTGACTTATATCTATACGATAAATTTAGAATCAAGACAAAAAGGTTTTCGAAAACCTGGTTTCTCAGTAGATGAGTTTTAAAAACAACCATCAAAAACTCTTGCTTCCTAAGTGAGTCCTAGCAAAAGACTAGCTCACAAACAGTTTTTTCAACAAAATATTAATGGATTTTTAAAAAAATCGATCAAATTAATGTTCAATTATCGCAAAAATTTGAATTAAAATATCTGTCCCATTTTTTAGCAATGGAGTTGGAACAAATTCAAAGTAGTTGCGATTAGATGATGTCCAGATAAGTGAATTCTCTGGAGAGAGTGTGACGTTGATACCATGTGGATAGTTGAAATCTTCATTCAGATAGATGACTGTCGGCTGTCGAATATCGGTATTGATGGTAAACTGCAGTTCGAATAGATTAGTGGTAGGAAAGAATGCCATATGTATTGGAATGCCTGAATCGTCATCAAAATGATATTCTTTCTAATTACATTGATTTCATTACCTGCAATAGCTTGTGCATATGATCGTGAGAGTGCTTGTACTTTATTCAATTCTAATTCGCCATCATCTGTATAGAATGATTCTGTTGTAGCAGGTCTCACAGATGTTGTCAAATCGGCATATTTCTTAAATTGCCAGTAAGTCCAACCTAAAGATAACATATAGATGAGTGTTTGAAGCTATACATTACCACTAACACAAAATATGCCGCAGTCAATATGTATCGTGCTCCCTCTGTTAACTATTGATTCACTGTTTTGCTTTACACGTATAACTATATATACCCAACTAAAATGATCGAATACGATCAATGGTCGAACCAGGACTGCCTTGAAGTAATCTAATCGACGTAAGTATTAAGACCTCATCATATCGAATGTAATCAAAAACAATAATAGTTAGTCGTTTCTTCAGAGAAAATAACACATGTGCTGAATGATGGATTCATACCATGCTTTCAAAATATATCGTACATAATGTTGCATACTTACTTTGGAGAAACTCATCGGCCACTGAAGTTACTCGATTGAGCTCTTTGATACCTTGGGTAGAATTGCTGAGTCCACCAAATTCAGTCAACATCATACCGCCGAGCTTTTTTTCACGTGCTTCTTTCACACGCAAATAGATCAGAGCATCATCGAAGAGTTCACAAAACACATCTGATTTTGGATCTCCTTGCTTCGTCACATCCAAACAGTAATCATGATAACTAAACACTTGCCGATTGTTGTATTCCGCACCACCCGGCCCTTCAGTGAAACCAGTATGAAATACATCGAAGACGCACGGTTCAAAAAAGATCAGATGTTTTTCATCCACTTTTCGAATCATTTCATGTAACTTTCTATACATCGGAGCCAAGTACTTTTGATCGACGAGACCCATTTGTAGAACATCAGCCAATGCTGGAAATGATGGTTCATTGATGAGCTCATAGCCAAGAACAGATGACCGATCAGCAAAATAACTGGCTACTTTATGCCAGAATGAGCCAAATGCTTCGAGAGTACCATTACCGTCTGTATATCTAGATTTCACGAATAATAGGCAATAGAAATTGATTATATTGCAGATTTTGAGCAACTTACAGCATTTTGAATCCGTTAATCACCCCTTCGGTGAGATAGTATTGACCAAAAGTATATTTCAAGCATTCATCAAGCACTGGATATCCTGTATCCGAATCGCGTGTAAAATTAATTGGAAAAGGAAACGGAAATCGGTTAAGAGTCTCATTGCCCAAATTTTTAGCCGCCCAATCAGGTAGACCTTCACCACAAAAGAATCGTGAAAAGACATCTTGATGGCAATCGAGCAAAGCATAAATACTCTTGTTTTCCATCATGGAGACAGCGGTGGACAGTTGAGAAAGATACGTTTCATCAAATTCATTTGGTGATTTCGGATTGACACCCATCCAAGACGTATAAAAACGTATGACATTGAAACCCCATTTGTGAAGATTGTCAAGATCAAATTCCGTCAGCGAATTTTGTGGATCAAAATCAGTCAGATTGGGTAAAAAAGGTGGTTGCTTGTAGACGACATTAACACCGTGAAATATACGTATACGACCAAATTCATCAACGAAATGTTGCGTGTCTGGATCAACTTGAATGCTCGGTAATGGAGAGCCACCGTGAACTGTTGATACAATTAGAAATAATAAACTAGTGGAAACAAAAAGAACCTCGCTTATTTCAATCATCTTTAAAAAGAAACGAACGCGTTATATTATACGACATATCATGCCTTTCATTGGTTCTACAGCTGATCTTTTTTCTCATCACTATACGACACTGAAGGTACGAAGCGTAATCTTTACATTATTCGATTACTGTATAATTTGAAGGACTAATAAAAAGCTTCAAACAGTGGATGTGTTTCAAAACGAATAAATTTCATTCTAAGACACTATCTATCATTAGGAACTACGACGACGTTTGACTACCTTGTATTTTAGGGTGATGCCCGAAAACAGTATCGACAGTTCAATATGTTTCGTTTGTCTATTACTAAATCTAGCTTTGGACAGAAGACTTGTCGAAGTTAGAGTCTTTCAGTACATACTGACTTGTTGCATACTAGGCATAAGGGCCTTTGGTGTATCGCAACCGTTAGTGACTTGCTCAGAGATATTCTATGTCAGATGAAATCGAGATTCAAATATAGCATCGAAACCAATCGAAGGTAGGTAGTGCTTGAAACATGTACATAAGGTATGCAGAGTAATTCATTTTTCTAATCGGGAAACTTGAATTAGTGCATTTATGTCAAAATATACTTATTTTCAGTATTTCAAACTGAAAATCTTTAAAACATGAGCTCAACATTATACTTGGACTGTAAAAGCCTTTTCAATATCGCTTTAGTTTTCTGAAAAATCTGTTTCATTAAAATTGTGAATAGTATGAAACATTATGCAAGTGCGGAGGGATGTTCACTCCATTGTTGTTAGCATCGATTGAGAACATATCTTGTGAATGAGAATACTTCGCAAGCAACGATAGTTCAGTGTATCAATAATCTTTCGACTATGAGATCTTTTAGAGACACTTTCATTTGAATATTAACACTGAACCAACCTTGAATGAATGAACGATCGTTTGGTTCTTTGTCTCCATCGATTGTGTTTCCCTAAGTTTTTTGAATATTCAAATAATTGTTTAGATGTAAGAAGAGAGTTGAACAATACATACGAAAACTTGCAATATGCCATATTGCATTCGATTGAGTAGCGTCATGCAACACATTCTCACCGTCTTCTTCGTTGATATTGATATCTAGCTATGCATTCAAATGTGAAACGATAGATAACACCAACAAGGACATTTTGCAGTACTCACTGCATCGAAAACGTTTGTCTCTCATTGTTGATTGCTTGATAACGAAGATGTTATTCAAGTACACTGCATAACGGAATGCGGTTTATTGATTGCACTCATCGAAGTTATTGATCATGATTTCAATATGTTTGAATGACAGACCATCCGATTCGACTCGATTCACAAACTCGACCCATTTTAAAACAGTGCCTTTTTGATTCGTTCAAGCAGCCTTTGAAAAAAAATTATTCAGATTATCAGAAATGTGCTAAAAGAATCTTGTCATTTGTTACTGAGGTGATTTGAACTACATAGAACGCCTTTCAGAACTAGTTCTTTCCTATCGATTTATGAATATATTCATTCGTTCGAGATTTATCAATCTCACGTAGACAATGTGAAGATATTCACTGAAAAGACTGACTGGAGATCTAATCAGCGCTTTTTGTAGAAAATGGTGCAGTCAAGATTTACTCGAGAAAAAATAAAGAATAACAACGCATTATTTGTATAGTTGTATGGTGCATTTAAGTGTTAGATGAATGAATGCTTTTTCTTTTCTTACATTATGAAGCACGTGCACTATGAACTGATATCAAAACCCATCATAGCTAATAATCGATCGCTTAATTTGCTTGCTATCCGATTTAGGATTAATGTTTTGATGTCACAACATTTATTTACTTTAAGTTTGTATATGTGTGACTTTTTGCGCTGGTGTTTCATGCTGTTACTTGTGTTTCTGTTCTTATCTCTGATTAGTTTTCCTTCTAATGCGAGTCCGTAGGCAATGAATGAAAAATGCGAAGTTTATCCTAGTGATTGCCAGGTAGAGTCTCTCATTTTCTGCGCCAGAAAAGTGTTTGGAAAAATTGTAAGCGACGACGCAAAACGTTAATGGCAAAGTAAATATTAGCTAGCTTTACAGCAGTTGTTTTCAGAGAGCGCTTCAATCTAATGTCGTTCAATTATCATTAATTATTTAAGCAATCGTCTTTTTCTTCTGTCTAGGCAAATTCCCAGAATTTTCTACCACATTGTTGCGTATTATGTTTCATTTTTATTATCAGCAATGTTTTATGAAGATGTCGTATGATGCCGGCTTCGCTACTTCGCATATACAAACACCTTGAAGGAAAAGAAAAGCTTTTTCATTTGTTGTTCAATCAACTAATGTACTAATAGGACACAGCAGATTTATTGATGTGTTTTTATTTTTCGATCACCTGCTTTAATCTTACTTTCGTATTGTTGTGTTGATTGTATTCTGTTGTGAATTATGATAATTTCGATAGAGATTCCACAAATAATACGATCGATCAGTTGTAAAATGACAGCCAAAGTTCGCAGAAAAATAACATTCCATAATTGATAATCAATCTTTCGACTAATAATTGCCAATAATATATTCTTTATTTCTCTTCTGTATGGTCTGTTTTTCATAGATATTCTTACGAAAATGTTATCATCGTTCTCAAGATTCATTACTTATCCTCGATTATCACTGTCTCTGGTAAAACAACAACATTTATTTGCATCATCGAAAGCTGATTCCACTTCACCAAAGACAGGCGATACACATCAATTTGGCAAAAAGGATATATATAAGCCAACAATTGATGCTTCCCATCAATCGGGTACAAAAAGTAAACAAGAACGTGTTGCATGGGAAAAAAAAGAACAAGGTGTTTCCCCTGATATACAAACACGCCAAGAACGAAAAACTGCTGATCAAAAACAGGATATAAAAACAAAAAAATCGAAGAAATAGAAAGAAAGTTGTTTTGACAGTGCACAGATTTTTTTGTATTTATTCAGGCTAATTTCGTCTTGTTTTTATTCACGCTGTTTAAAAATAAACAACTTTTGTACATGGATACATGAAAATCATGCTAAGATTGAATTCTACAGAACGATGTAAAAATAATTTCTACATGATCTACTCCTTTTATGGACTGATGGGTGTGACAGATAGAATTCGAAAGAAAAATTGTGTTTAGCTGAAGGTTTTATAAGAATCATCAGAAAAATTATTTTTAAACTGTGTTTTTTTAAGCAATTTAAAGTAAGAAAATTATAGGGTGTCTGTGTGTGGTGTGGGTGAGGGCTGGGGAGTGGATTCAGAGAAGATCAACAACCACACCTACACCCACACCCTCCCCCAACCCACCATACACCCTCCATAATATTAGATCCTTAGCGCGGGCACTGCCCATATCCACACCCACATCCTGAAAAAGTTTTTTGGAAAATCAATCATGTCGAAAATACGGATGAGATGGGAAAAGCATGATTTATTTGAAAATGATCGCTTTAAAAGAATTTTTTTCGTGAAAAACATTTTATAGCATCTCCGTTTCTTCAGTCTAGTACGTCAGATCGAACTGGTAAGTTTTTTACATATTGCAGAGGCTATATGGAATGTGCATTTTTTGTTTCGAAAACGTATTATTCTGCTGATTTTTGATAACTTTTACCAAAAGTTTGTAATAAAAAATATGCTTGTCTTTAGGGAACCTTCAATCATAGCATCGTGTAGAAGACAACATTCGAGATAATAGATTTTGTTCTAATCTTTAGCATCTATTTTTCCAAGAAATTTCAAATTTTTCTGATGAACCGTTTTTCAGAAACACCAGAAGAGGAAGAAATCCTCTTAAAAATCTAACATTACCAGTAAACTGTAAAGTCAATATAATCGAAATGTATCGGATATAGCCATCGTAATCTGTAGATTTTATAGCATAGTACTTAAATTTTATTTAAAAAGAAAATGAAAATACATTAGAATTGTAATATTAGACGAGTATAAAATAAATTGATTGTATTTAAAAAAATAATGAAGTCTTATTTAGATGATGCAACATCATGATTCACTGTATCTTTTATGATTACCCAATAGTGTCAGATTTCATCTTCACTTTTATAAATAAGTGTTATCTATACGGTAACATACTTGATGTCGAATATAGGTCTTTGACAATAAATTTTTTTCTTTTGTTTAGTATTACATCAATTTGTTACTACTTAGCATCAAGTTCATTTGAAGTCAACATGCTGATATAGTTGAAAAACATGCAGAAGTCAGAAAGTAGTGGTTCATCATAACGAAAACTCTTCAACCTAACTTACCTATCATTCACTTATAGACTTCTGTTTTGTCTTTTTCAATATTGTAATAAAAGAAAAAAACAAAAAACTTAGTCAATATGAAATTATTTTAGGAGTTTTTTAATTAAAACAATCAGACAAATTCTGTGTTTTTTTCTTGTTAATTGTAGGTTAGAAACGGCACATTCACATTGAATATGCCACAGAGTTCAGGCAGAACACAGTTATTCAAAGTAAAACAAATCAACCATGAAAATAAATGCACATAACAGAACTCAGAAGTTTTACTCGTTCTATAGAATGTCGATAAATAAAGAATACTCAACGTAAGATTTATTAGTAGTATGGGTTTGGAATACTTTTAATGAATTATAGTATCAATAGATATGAGTCGATGAGTTGTTTTGTAAAAAAAAAAAAAAAGTATTTTTCTATGAAAGCTACTCTTTAAAATAACGACACATCTCAAGTTTCGATGGTTTTTCATCCCGAAAAAAGTTTTCACATGATAGTGACATATTTGTTATTTTGAGTAAGATAATAGATTAATGTTGAATAAGTTAATCAACAATATTAAGTTCTGTTGATTCATTCTCGAGATTAAAAACACACGAATAAAACATTTATCATGAGATAATATAATATGTAAGTTTTATTTTTAAATAAAATAAATGGAGAGGGTCAATTAAACAAAATTGAAATACGCTTTCAAATAACGTTTATAAATAGAAACTAATCATTTTTATTACAACAGTGAAATATAATATTCGATATGTGACTTGAGCTTCAGTTACATTGCATGAGTGTCAGATATTGTGAGTAGCAAAACTTTACGGACGTTAAGGTCAATCCGTTAAGCAAATAATACGAAACGGTTGGCTATGCACTTGATTACAATAGACATGTTTTCTCCATTTTTATTTCACTGGTGAATATATATATAGTTGGCAAAATAAACATTATAAAACAGCAATTACAAGAAATGTTTTACTTCTTTACCGTACCATGTATTCGTTTTTGAGTATAGTCCACACTATATCCTTGTGCATGCACCCTTACTGCAATACCCTTATGACTAGACCTTCACACCTATACAGTAAAGACTATAGCACCATAGCTAAATATTTATCAATATATATTTTTGACTGTATACTTGAATCCAAGTTCATATACATAAAATTTTTGTAACTTCCGAATTAAATTATTGTATTTTATTTCATTTAATCAGTGCATATCATCGATGTTAACAAGTGTTTTACAAAAAAATAGAATAGAAAACAAAAATTGGTTAATAATCATTAACAGTTGTCACATTTTTGATGCTGGTTACTTGTGAAGATTTTTCACTGCCATTGTTTATCATAGCTGTAATACACCTAAATTGTGTACGCCCGTTGGTGATCGAACGAAGTGCTGTCAGCATAATCGAACATTTTATCATCGCATAATCATTTAATTTTATTCGTAGAAGGACACTATCAAAACAACTTTTATCTATGTCGAGATATTTGCAAAATACTCGATATTGTAAGCTACAGCACGAAAGGATATTTTCTGAAACATGAACAACGAATGAGACAAAAAATTCATACTATTGATACAAATTATTCATATTTTGCATGAATCAATAATTTAGAAAAAGTACAGGTAATTATTGTCATACGAATATGAAAAGAAACGGTAAGTAGTTATTTAGTCAGCCTTCAATTTGAACTCAAAAGTTTTGTTAGTTGTTAAGTTTCGATTCATTTCTACCATGGAATACTTTGTACTGAAAATTTTTCTATAATATCTTGTAATGATCACCTCATCCAAAAGAATACTGATTCACATTTTTTTTGTCAATTTTTTTCTGATGATTACTCGATAAAATTATACTTCAACGTGAACTCAATATATGAATATCATTTGATTTTATATAAGAATCGTTAAAAATGAAAAATAAACTGTCTCTGTCATGATATATCGATGAAGCTTCTATTAGGTTCGATATTAAAAACAAGCATGTTTATTTTGTTTTCTGCTCACAAATAGCTATATTCACTACCTGTGCATCAGTTTATCACATGCATTTATATGAATATCAAATGACATCGATTTATTTTAATGATGATCAGTAGTAGAGAGATAATAACAACCAATATTCGAATTTCGTAGCCTGATGATGATACGATTGCAACGATTAAAACAAAAAATTCAAATGAGAGAAAATCATTCCTATTAATTAAAAGCCATAGGTAAAAAATTATCTGTTTTTATAGATTTAAAGGTAATTATATTAAAAGCAAGGTCACTTGTGACATTTGATTTAAGATAAATCATGTATGTGTGTGTTCGATGATGAAAATGGCAATGTTTCATCAGTATCAAGAATCGCATACACAAATAGCGTTTGTTTTTTCTAATAAAAATAAATATTCAAAGTCAAGGATTTAAACAATATAAACACATAATTAAGTATTGATATTTTTTGACGTGCTAAATATAGCAAAAAATATGATATTAATTGTCTACACTTTATTTAAAAAACTAACAGGACAAATTAGAATTACTTTGTCCAATCAACAATTGTTTTGACTTGAAAATTGAAACATATTCATCTGATAATGTTGAATAAATTCTGAAAATTATTTACATTACATGATATAAATATATAATAAAAATAAAACAAAGTATTGATTCTAAATTATTTTTTTTTCAATATTCTAATCTCTAAACATAAACAACAATGTCATTAATAACATATGATCAGATATCATATATTCCATCTTGTCTATTATTTGAAACATTGTGATACTATTTTTGCAACGTAATATGCAACTAGCCAGTATATCTTGAAATTGAAAAGATCGAAAAACGTAGTGTCGATTATTTGAATACTTGATTAATCAGCCCAATAGTTACAAAAATAGAGTCAACAAATTTTCTGTATGATAGTAGTGAATACTTTTTTAGTAATTTTATCTATAGCACGAAAGAATGTATGATGAAAATACTGAGATTAAAAATATAGTGTACTAATATCTTTGAAGTTGAATGTAAAGAGCAAAAACCAATAAAACACTAATAATACGATTTTTTCTTCATGATCAGATGTACATCGTCATTGTTGTCTTTTCTGTTATATCTATATAATGTATTGATGATTACAACAAAAACTATGACAATATTATTATAAAGAACGTAAACAATCTTTTAAATAAAAGCTAAATGACTGTCGCTCATACATACGTATATGAATGAAACAATTGTCATCTATAATTAGAAAACAAGATATGATCATTTTTCTTCTTTTCGTATATGATTATAAACATTACCTTGACATATTTTTCACCTATCATAGTATCTATAATAACACTGATTTTTTTCTTGAATAAGAAAAAATCGATCACAAACATATACGCAGTAGTGGTGCGCGACCACAGGGTTGTGACATACCCCAAATCATGAGGATTTCTGTTTTTTTTCTCAACCAAGGTGATATTTTGTTTTTGCGTTCTGCCTAGAAGAATGACACTCTTCATTTGCGAAAAGCCACAAGATTCTGTTCCCCTCCCTCACTATTGGCTGTTTCGGGCTACTACTGCATATATGTTATTATAATTATGTAAAGAGAGAAAAATATTGTTTTTATTGATCACTCATATATAAAGAATGTAT